GCACACCTGTAGTTCCAGCTACTTGAGATGCTGAAATGGAAGGACCACCTGAGCCTAGGAGGTCAAAGGCTCAGCCTAGGCAACAGGGTGAGATTCTGACTAGGAGGAGGAGGAGGAAGATGAAAGAGGAGGAGAGGGAGGAGGCACAATGAACTGAAAGGCTATTAAAATACTTCTCTCTTTCCCAACTGCATACATCATGAACCTGAGTTACCATCACATATTTTGACAAAACAACATATTGCAACAGATTGAATGCAGAAGCAGCTATGAGAATCCACCTGTCTTCTGCTAAGTCAGACAGTAAAAAGATTTGCAAAAGTATAAAACAATGCCACTGTCCTCACTAAAGTTTTTGTTTTGGAAAATACATAGCTATTTTTCAAATGTATATTTGGTTAACATAATAAAATCATTGTTGTTATTTTGAATTGATACATATTTTAACTTTCTATCAATTTTAATTTCAAATACATTGAATAGCAATAGACAAAACTCACTTAAAACTATTAGGATCCTTGCTTATAAAAAGTACAAAGGAGCCGGGCTCTGTGACTGTAATTCCACGCCTTTGGGAGGCTGAGGTGAGTGGATTGCCTGAGCTCACGGGTTCGAGACCCGCCTGGGCAGCGAGACCTCATCTCTACAATAAATCAAAAAAAAAAAAAAAAAAAAAAAATCAGCTGGGTGTGGTAGTGCATGCCTGTAATTCCGGCTACTTGGAAGACTGAGGCGGAAGGATCGCCGGAGCCCAGCAGGTCGAGGCTGTGGTGGCCGGGAGCGGCCACTGCACTCCAGTCTGGGCGACGGAGTGAGACTCCAACTCAAAAAAACAAAAAAAAGTACAAAGGATCCTGAAACCAAAAATTTTGTGAACCAGTAAAATAGAGTTTTACTTTAAGAAATATCCTGTTGTTGTTTTTTTACCCTAGACTTTTGTTAATATTAATGTACTATTCAAAAATAAGTTGGCCAGGTGTGGTGTTTCATACCTGTAATCTCAGCACCTCAGGAGGCCGAGGCTGGAGGATTACTTGAGGCCAGGAGTTTGACACCACTAGCCTGGGCAACATAGCAAGATCCCATCTCTACCAAAAATTTAAAAATTAGCTGGATATGATGGCACACAGATAGTCTTAGCTACCAGAGGAGTTGAGGCAGGAGGATTTCTTGAATCCAGGAGTTCGAGGCTGCAATGAATTATGATTGTACCCCTGCACTTCAGCCTGGGCTACAGAGGGAGACCCTGTCTCTACAAAAAAAAAAAAGTTTATTTTACTGCTTCTGTTACAGTGCATGTGAGCTACAGATCTTCAGCATTCTCCCAGCGCAGTGTGGGTGGCAGTATTCTTTCCCCAGCATGGAAGGTGCATGTGGTCATCTTCTCCCTACCCAGTCCCTGGTTTTCTCGCTTGAGGAAGAAAAACGGATCCTTTCATAGCTCAGGACAATTAACACCAGCTGGCCGGCCGTGGGCTCTACACAATTTCTGGTGATCTTGCTTAATTCCCTCTCTTTCGTTTCTAAGCACACTTTTAACAAAGCTATTATTTATTGAGCACTTTAAGACCTTTACATTCGTTTTCTCATTTAATTATCACACTGACTCTGTGAGCTAGACACTGCTATTATTCCCATTTTACAGACAAGAAAATCCAACCTCAGAGAGATTAGGGGAAACCTGTTGGAATGTAATTGACCCTTGAAACCTCTTTATAAATGCAAACTAAAGGTGAGCATTTATACATTAAAAGTTATTTATCTAAAAGTTTAGTAGCTTAACAATTGTTCTTAGTAGCAAATTACGACTCAAGGGAGACACCAGTACAGATCTGAGCCCCACTGGAGCCCTCACATTTGAGTCCTTACCCCCAAGTTCCCTGAAAATGCCATGTCACGTTTAGGGCATATCTACCCCAAACCCGAACCCTTACACTGATATTTTGCCTGATTTTTTTCCAGAACCTTCACACCGAGACTTTACACCCCATCCTCCTCACTGGGACCTCCCTGAGACCTTACTTGAGGTAACACATGTGAGCTCCTCATCCGAGCTACATGCCGGAAGCCACAGGTCAGCTCTCACACCAGAACCCCATTAACTCCAGAACTAGTGTTGGATCCAGACCTGACATCCCTCTTGAGGGAGAAGCAGAGGAAATGGGGGCTGGAGGATGAAGGAGTGAGATGGCGGCGTGAGCTGGGAGAAGCACGAGTGGGGAAGAAATGGGCTCTCGGCCCCCAGCCATGGTCAGGAATGTTCCCAGACAGCACTGACCTCTCACCCCTACCCGCCTCAGCGCGAGGATCAGCTGCCTCCACCATCCCCACTTCCTGGATCAGAAGCCGCCTTGGGAGCAACTGGGGCATCCCCATAGCAACCATGCCAGGCCAGTTTGGGAGTGGAGTGGGGCTCCTTTAACGCCCCCAAACATAGGCTGATACCCTTGTCTCTCATCTTGGTAACCCCCGGGGCTCTGCAGATTGGAGTGTCCTGGGGAGGAGGGGCCGTGACTCCCTACCATGTTTCTCTGGTCTCAGCCGGACCCTTCCTGAGCAATCTGATGGGAAACTCAAGCTCTCTGTCTGTCCTTGGGCCTCAGCCCCCACTGATGCCCTGGACACTGGTGGGCGTCTCTCGCCTCCTGAGAGCCAAAGAGGAAGTCTGAGAGGGTTTGATCTCTTTCCTCTGCCCACCTGGGCTTGGTGATACCCGAGGAAGGGATGTTGTCAACTGAGAGCCTGATGGGAGAGGTGACGGCAGGGAAGGGGCGGGGTGGAGGCAGCCCAGGGCTCTGTGACCTAGACAGAGGCCTTGTGTGGGTGATTAGCTGTCACGTTGGGTCTAAGCTCCTTACCCTCAGAATCTAGCTTTCCTACCCCAGGTCTAATCCAGAGGTAGGGGGAGGGGACCTGAAGGCACCAGGCAGGGCTTAGAGGCCTCGGAGGGTCCCCAGAGGCCCATGCAGAATAACCAGCTGTGGCCTTGGGGGAGTCAGCCTCTCTCTGATTCTTTGTCTCAGTGTGTCTCTGCTTTTATGGTTTCGCTGCCTTCTCCACCTTGAGTGTGTGCATATGCATGTCTTTCTGTCTCCCTATCTGTCTCCCTATCTTCATGCCTTCTGGCCCTGTGAACCACTCTGTGAACCTGACTCTGGGATGCTCTTATTGGTGGCAGAAAAGCATGGACACCAGTGGGTATGCAAAAAAATACCAATGGGTCACACGAGTCCCAATGACAGGACCATGGTTGACAGAAAGTCTTGGGGCCCAGACTTGTAGGTGACGTGGGGTTTTAGACAACACAGGGTCTAGGTGACAATGTGTTGTGGGTGACTCAGGGCTTGAGGGACATTGGATTATTTGTATTCAACAGATTGGGTAACCTGAGTTGTGACTAATACAGAATCATCTGGGTGATTCAATGACAGCAATTCAAAATGAGCAGGGGCTGGGTACAGTGGCTCATGCTTGTAATCCCAGCACTTTGGGAGGTCAAGGAGGGAGGAATACTTGAGGCCAGGAGTTTGAGACCAGCCTGGGCAACATAGCAAAGTCTCATCTCTACAAAAAGATTAAGATAAAAAATAATTCACTGGGTGACACCGTATGTGCCTGTCTGTAGTTCCAGCTACTTGGGAAGTTGAGGTGGCAGGAATGCTTGAGCCTAGAAGTTTAAGACTGCAGTGAGCTATGATCATACCACAGCACTCCATCCTGACTGTTAGACTGTCTAAAAAAACAAAAACAACAAACACCTAAAAACCAAACCTTGGAGGCAGCAGAATGGCAACAGTGGTTCTCTACTGGGGTAATTTTGAGTCCCCACCCCCACTCTGGGACATTTGGCTATGTGTGGAGACATTTTTGGTGGTAACACCTGACGAGGCATGTGCTATTAGCCTTCGCAGATAGAGACCAGGATGCTTCTCAACACCCTACAATGCACAGGAAAGTCCCCACCTCAAGGAACTATCCAGCCTGTCGTGGTCTCTGAAGTTGCCTGCCCAGGGTGAAATGCAACTCTTGTGCTCCACGGCCATAGGCAAAATTCCTCATCTCTAACGTGAGGCACCCACGTAGTACCCATCAAAGGTTATTGGGATTCCTGAGCCTATACTTGCAAAGTGTGTTTAAAATGGCAGCACCATTTATTGACTCATCTCTGGAGAGAATGAGAGCAGATGTGGGTGTAGGACTCAAACATTCCCTTCCGGCATCTACTTCAGACAGGCTTCTTCCACAGCCAGAGGCCTCTCCAGGCTCACATCCTGTCAGCTCAGTGATGTCAGAGGGCAAGAGGTACGCTTGTGCCTGCTTCAGTGCAGAAATGCACCTATAAATCCCGAGGAATGGCTCTCACTGGCTGAGCTTGGGCCGTGGTCGCCTATCGTGTCTCAAGGTGCCATGACTGAGATCAGAGCCATATGACTGCAGCAGGGACAGGCTGTTTTCCACAGGAGGGGGATGCTCTTCCAAGGATGGAAGGCAGCTGAGCAGCAAAGATGATAGATGTCTCAATGTAGTGGCTGTGGGCCAGTCTGGGCTGGCCCCATGTCTGAGCCCTAAGGGTTATGGGGGACATCACATTGCAGGACTCTGAGCTAACCTGCCAACCTCTCAGAAATATTCGACTACTTCCTCCTTCTCAGAACACTCTCTTCTCTAGCTCTTTTGAAAGCACCATCTCCTGATTCTCCTCCCTCTCTGACAGCAACTTCTGTCTGTTCTCCTATCAAGCCTGGAGATGCTGGCATCTTCAAAGCTCAGTCCCACACTCTCGTCTCCTTTGTCTCAGAACCCTCCTAAGTGGCTCATCGTGATACCACGTTGGGAGCTTGAAATCACCATGATGGGAGTATTTACACTACAGAGTATGGAAATGCTACAAATCAGAGTTTCTCTTTTTTTCTTTTTTTGTTCTGAGATGTTAATGTATATTTCTTGATCTGGATGCTGGTTACACAGACATATACACTTTATGAAAACTGAAAATATTCTTTATATTCTATTACAAGCAACACAAGAGTATAAGCAATTTAGCAAATCTAGTTCAAAACAGAGAAAGCACTTCTAACTTTCTATTTCAAGTTCCAATAAATTGCTACTTACCAACAATTTTATCAACTGTATCAGGATCATCAAAAGTTACAAAAGCAAATCCCCTTTTTTTTCCACTCTGCTTGTCTTCCATAACGTCCATGGTTTCAATTTTGCCATACTTTTCAAAGTAGTCTCTCAAATTATATTCTTCTGTATCTTCTTTAATACCACCAACAAAAATGTTCTTCACTGTTAGGTGGGCACCAGGCTTTACAGAATCCGCTCTAGAAGCAGCTCTCTTTGGTTCCACTACACGCCCACCAACCTCGTGTGGTCGAGCACACATTGCTGCATCCGCGTCTTCAACACAAGAGTAAGTCACAGAACCAAAGCCCCTGGAACGTTTTGTTTGGGGGCCTCTCATTCCCACACGATCTGTGAGTGGGCCCCATTTCTCAAAATGTTCTCTTAAACTATCATCTTTAGTTTCAAAACTCAGACCACCAATGAACACTTTTCTCAACTGCTCTGATTCTTTTGGATCATGGCCCTCCTCCCTCCAGCAGTGATGGCAACAGCTGAAGTCGGGCCGAAGAGGGTGACCGGGTGGCAGTTTTACCTCCATTTCGAGACTGGACTTGCCTCTTCTGACTCGAGTTCAATATGGGCTCTCTTTTTTTCTTGGAGAGACAATAGTTAAACAGTTACCAGCACACCACTGCCCAACACCATTGTCACAAAAACTTGATTTTATCCAGATCTTGTCTTACTCCAAACCCTATTTGGCTCAAATTCTTTCTCAACACACTTTTTGCACACAGCACAGTACTATCTCCAACTATTTTAGCCCTAGTTCCCTGAGCCCATTTTCATCCAGACTGCATAACTCCCATGGCCATTTACTATCCAGTGTTCTCTAGATGTTTATCGACAACACAGACTCACTCATTACCAAGTTGAATATAACCCAGTGGCATCACTAGCTAATGTGGTGCAGATTTGTGCCATCCAAACAGTCCTTATAGAATTCATCATCACCCAGTCTTAGTGTATGCAGAGAATGTATTAATACTCTCTTTGAGATGAGCTTACCTTGGAATATAAGAAAATCAAACAGGTGTCAGCTTGTGTATGAGAGATTTTCCCACAAGATTTGGCAAAGGATAATAATAATAATAGCCAACATTTATTAGGTACTTACTAGTACCAGGTCAGTTCTAAACACTTTACATATTAACTTATCTAATCCTCACAACAGTCTTATGAAGAAGATATTATGACTTTCCTCATTTTAACAACTGAGAGATTTATGTGCAGAGGTTAAGTAATTTGCCCAAGTCTATGTGGCTAGTAAATAGCTTCTCTTAACTTGACCTGAGGAGGCCCGGTTTAAAAATTTGCACTCTCAACATTATAGACATCGCCTTGAAATATTTATGTTTAGATATGCTGGGTTTGATTTTTAAATATACAAGAAGTTGTATTAGTTAGCAAGACTCAGTCATAGGAGTGTTTTCTTTTCTTTTCTTTTTTTTTTTTTTTTTTTGAGTTGTAGTCTCACTCTGTCACCCAGGCTGGAGTGCAGTGGCACAGTCACAGCTACCGCAGCATCGACCTGCTGAACTCAGGCTATCCTTCCCCTTCAGCCTTCCAAGTAGCTGGAACTACAGGCATGCACCACCACACCTGGCTAAATTTTTTATTTATTGTAGAGATAAGGTCTCACCAAGTTGCCCAGGCTGGTCTCAAACCATGAACTCAGGCAATCCTCTCACCTGAGCCTCCCAAAGTGCTGGGATTATAAGCGTGAGCCACCACGCCCCAGCCTGGTCATAGGAGTGTTTTCATTACAAAGGGTTGCCCAGGCCAGGCTCGGTGGCTCAGCCTGTAATCCCAGCACTTTGGGAGTCCGAAGTGAGTGGATTGCCTGAGCTCGTGGGTTTGAGACCTGCCTGGGCAACTTGGTGAGACCTCATCTCTACAATAAATCAAAAAAATTAGCCGAGTGTGGTAGCATGCACTTGTAGTTCCAGTTACTTGGAAGGCTGAGGCGGAAGGATCACCGGAGCCCAGCAGGTCGAGGCTGTGATGACTGGGAGCGGCCACTGCACTCCAGTCGGGGTGACAGGGTGAGACTTTAACTCAAAATAAATAAATTTAAAAAAGGGTTGCCCTTTTGTTTTTCTAAGCTAAAGCAATTATGCTAATGGTATTGAACCACCCATTCCTCTGAGTGGGCTAATGAGAGAGATTCATTGTGACATTTGATATAACAGCCTTGGGAAGAGAGAGAACAATAAGTGCTGGTTCTGGGGTGAAGGGAGTTCGGGGTGGGGAGAGAGGAGGAGGACAGATGGTGTCACACCCGAAGGACTAGGTCTAGATAGGTCCCAGCCGGATCATGAGATGGGGCCACTGTGGTTGACAAATCCTTACGTTTTGGTTGATGACCCAAGGCCCAACTCAACCCTTGGCTTTCCCTGGAGCTTTGCCAGGGACCCAGCACAGTCAAGTCAGCTTCACGAATAGCACATCTGCCATCGGTCACATCCATCTTGAGGAAAAGAATGCCTAGACCGTGAGAGCATCCTGCCCTGGGACCAGAGATTCGAGAATGGGGGATGGATAGGGGTGCTACTTCCTTCCTTATTTATGTCACCTATTTCCTTCTTAAGTGGCCAGTGTAAGAAATAATTAGTTTAAAATCATGTGAGTAGATCAGCTAGGAAGAGAAAGATTCCCCTAGGGATTCACAGAAGCTACCTTATAACAAATTGGGGTTAGGAGTGGGATTATAGTGTCCTCTAGTGGACACTTTGGGAATTCACACAATATCAGTTTTTGGATGTGGCCAATTAAGGTAGTCTGAATCCACCAAAGCGAAGATTATTTACTAGAGTATTGGCAGCCGGGGTGTTTGGAAAGCAGATCCATAAGAGAACGTGTGTAACGTGTGTGTGTGTGTGTGTGTGTGTGTGTGTGTGTGTGTGTGTGTAAGGTTGTGTGGCTTCTCTTAACTTCTCCATGCAGAAGTCAGGGAAATGGTTATGGGGCAAAAAGTGGGAGCCGCTGATGGCAATGGCCCAGAGACATTAAAAAGAGTGAGAAAACCAAGAGCTGTGGAGATAGGAACTTTCCCCTCTCTTGAAGCAGACACAGTAAAGTGACTTAAATAAGAAAAAAAGGTACAGCCAGTAACTTTCCGGGCAGAACTGGACGCGTGCCTGGGGTGATCCGGGATGTCCAGCTAAACTGAGAAATACTCTGATTCCGCCGATTCCCTCGGTTCACCCGGAACAGAGAGAGGACCAGGAGACACTGAACCCGCAATGAGATGAAAGGACGCTTTTGCCAGAGGGCTGGAATGAAAGGGTTTTAGGGAAGGAAGATAAGGACAAACGAGTCAAAGGTTTCTTCTTCATGGTGAATGTTTTTGTCTTCAAACGTGTGTTCACTTTTTCTTTGGAGAAGATTCCACACTCTTGGTGTTTCGAGGCTGAGACTTTCTTTGATACGATTGGATTTAGAACCAGTTTGTTGCAAATTAGTATTTGGGGATTTAGAAAATATTCTTTATGCTTGGATGGCTTCTCCTAGGTGCATAAATGAATTGCTTTATTGTTAACTAAATTTCTCTTGGTGAAATTGCCTGTGTGTTTGACCAGCCAAGGTATAATTTGTTTAATTTATGAACACAGTAAGATTTATCTACGAATTAGAGATGTTGAAAAGTTTATTTATTCTGATAATGACAAGTTTTCTGTTTTTGTATGTGTGTGTACATAAGACATGAATGCATTAGTTGAATATATTTTTATTGAAGTAAATCATTTGTGCAGAAAAGTGCATTAATCATAAGTATATAGCTTAATGCAGCATCACAACTAGAACACATCTGTGTAAATATAACTATCTTAATCTGCTGGGGTTGCTATAACAAAATGTCATACACTGGGTGGCTTAAACAACAGACATTTATTTCTCACAGTTCTGGGGGTGGGTAAGTGAGTTTTGGTGAAGACTCTCTTCCTGGCTTGCAGGTGGCTGCCTTTTCACTGTGTCTTCAAATGGCATTGTGAGTGAGAGAGAGAGAGAGAGAGAGAGAGAGAGAGAGAGAGAGAGAGAGAGAGAGCGCGCTAGCACTCATTGGTCTCTTCTTAGAAGGGCACTAATCCCATCATGAGTGCTCCACCCTCATGAGCTTGTCTAAATCCAATTACCTCCACAGCCCCACCTCCAAATTCCATCACACGGGGGATTAGCAACTCAGCATATAAATATTGTAAGGGCAGGGGACAGGAGATTTAGTCCACAACAAAATTCATCCCATGTAGATGCCTCCCTTTTGCTGATACCCAATCATTGCCCTCTTTGTCCTCCCCAAGGTAACCACCACCCTGGCTTCTAACCACCTAGAGGAGTTTTGCCTATCTGAATTTCATATAGTTAGAATTATATAGTATATATATTTTGTATTTATGAGATTTATCCATGTTGTTATGTGTAGTGACAACTTGTTTATTTCCATTTTGGCATAGTATTTCATTGTATGAATATACAGCAACTTACCCACTCTAGTTTTTCAGTTTGACTATTATAAATAATATTTACATTTTGGTGCACATACCTGTGAGTATAATTACTGCCTCCTATCATATACGTATGTTTAACTTTTTTTTGACTGGAATGTAGTGGCATACTCACCACCACCGCAGCTTCAACATGCTGGACTCAGGAGATCTTTCTGCCTCAGTCTTCCAAGAAGTTGGAACCACAGGTGTGCATAGGCTAATTTTTAAAAAAATTTGTTGTAGAGACGAGATCTCACCAAGTTGCTCAGGCTGGTTTTGAACCTCTGGGCTCAGGCAATCCTCTTGCCTCTGCCTCCTAAACTGCCAGGATTACAGGCGTAAGCCACCATACCCGGAGCCTATGTTCAACTTTGGTAGATATCATCAAACAGTTTTATAAAGTAGTTGTGCCAATTTTTGCTCCCACCAGCAATGTACGTGAGTTTAGCCACTGTAAAAGTATTTACAGCTCAGACATGGGCAACTTCTACAAATCAGGGCTTCTTTCTTAGAGGGTTGGTTGTCAAATTGTGACCAGCACACCACTGCCATCACCCATGGTCACAAAAAGCCTCACATTTCTTCCAGCACTTAATGTTGCCAGTTTTCCCCCACCAAGAGCAATGATCAAAATTTTAATTGAATGTGTATAGTTTTTATTTCAATAACTTTAGGGAGTTCAAATGATTTTTTGGTTACATGAATGCATTGTATAGTGGAGAAGAAGTCTGGGCTTTAAGTGTACCCTCCACCCTGGATGTATTTTTTAAGACTCATGTAAGATAGAATTTAGGGAAATTATTTTATGTTTTATTTATTTATTTATTTTTTTGAGTTGGAGCCTCACTCTGTCGCCCAGACTGGAGTGCAGTGGCCGCTCCCGGCCACCGCAGCCTCGAC